AAGTAATATTCCATTGCGTGTGTGTTTATTGCATCTTAATCTATTCACCACAGGCTCTTTCTTTCCCAAGGTGCACAGAACAGTCTTGCCAAGGCTCCTCTGAACTTGTTCACTCCTCAATGGACAATCTTTTGATTCTGTGACTCACTTCTTAAATCCTGGGAGGCCTCTGAACTGGTGTCAGCCACTCCTGGCCCCTGGCTTCAGTTTGCTATTCTTAGACATTGACTTTGTTTTCTCTCCTTCCTTCCGATTTCTAGGTTGGTGAACTATCTCACTTCCAGCTTTTGCAGGGGCATCTTCTCAGTTCTGAGCAATAACTGGAACCTCACTGAATTAAACCTCAGTGGCAATAATCTGGGAGACCCAGGGATGAAGGTGTTGTGTGAAACGCTCCAGCAACCTACCTGCAACATTCGCAGACTGTGGTAAGAACCCACATGTGTGTGTGTGTGTAACAGAGAGGGAGCAGAACCAGATTAGTGGTTTATTAGTTGTCTGATGCTGCCATAACAAAGTACCAGACACTGGGAGCCTTAAACAACAGAAATTAATTTTCTCATAGGCCTGGAGGCTGGAAGTCCGAGATGAAGTTGCCAGCAGGGTTGGTTTCTCCTGAGGCCTCTCTGCTTGGCTTGTAGGTGACTGTCCTCTCCTTGTGTCTTCACATGGTCTCTGTGTGAGTGTCTGATCCCCTCATCTCTCAAGGACACCAGTCACATCGGATTAGGGTCTGCCTTAATGACCTGACTTTAACTTGATTACTTCTTTAACGCCCTATCTCCAAATATAGTCCACATTTGAGGCCCTAGGGGTTGAGACTTCAACATGAAATTTTCTGGGGGATACAATTCAGTCCATAACAAGTGAGAAGGCAAAAATAGATTGGAAGCCAGGAGTTTGGGACGTTTCAGATGGGGAAGGATAAAGGGGAACTGAAAAGAAGTCATTTGCTGGTGGTATGAAAGGGCATGACTTTTAGGAGCTTTCATTTCTTCATCAGCCATGCTCATAGCTGAGATTGAAGTGCTTCATCATAGAAGCGCCACCTGAGCTGGAACCCATCAAAATATTTTGTGTAGGTTAACTTGTCACAGGGAGACTCCTGTCGCTTTACAGATA